TCGCAGAGTAGCTGCCGTGCAGCTGAGGTGGGAGCGTGCTGTTTGGGCAGAAAGGAGTGCAGGAGTACTTGATTGATGGGGCCCAGCCCTACATGACCGGCAAGTTCAGGGACCCAGCTGGATTCCGTCCTCAGAGCAGAGTGGATTCTCAGAGAGTGGTCTGTGTCTGCAGGAGCACTGCTCATGCCCAGAGCCCTCCCAGAGTGCTACGCAAGTGGCTGCCGTGCAGCTGAGGGTGGGACGTGCTGTTTAGACACAGAAAGGAGTGCAGGGTATGATTGATGGAGGCCCCAGCCTACATGACCGGCAAGTTCAGGGACCCAACTGGATTCCATCCTGGGGAAGCAAATGAATTCTCAGAGGAAGTGGTCTGTGTCTGCAAGAACTGCTCTCAAACCCAACAGGCTTCTCTTGGCAACTGACTCGTAACAAAGGGTTCAAGATCATTTGAAAAAAAAAAAGGGGGGGGAGCCAGGAGGCAGTGGGTCCTGGAAAAGTAAATTGTTTATTTTACAGTAAGAAAGTGATTAAATATATATATTTTTTACAATGGTGGAAAATTAGAAGTGATTGTGAAAATGATGTCTACCCATGTTGCTGATGAGTAGGATGTGATTTGGCTCTTTAGGAAAGTGAATTTGTAGAACTTAAGAATATTGATTTATAAAGGGCATGGCCTTTGACCCAGTCCATCTTATGCAAATCTGGATGCCATAAATAATATTTAAAAATAAAAGTATTGGGGTGGAGGTTGCAGTGAGCAGAGATCACGCCACTACACTCCAGCCTGGTCGACAGAGTGAGACTCTGTCTCAAAACAAACAAACAAACAAAAATAAAGAAGTCATTCCCAATGTTGCTCATCAGATTATGACCATAAATATCCAGGATCAGACTAATGGCTAAAGAGACGGTGACGCATCAACACCAGGCAGAGAACAAAGCAGATTTTTTTTTTTTTGGAGAGCCTCTAGGAACTTGAAAAATATATATGCCACACTCTTAAGACTCGGTGGTTCTTAATCAGGGGTGTTCATTAAAATGCTGGAAAGCTGAAAAGACTTCCAGGTCCCATCCAAGGAGATTTTGCTTCTGATTGACTGGCTAGTGGCCTGGCCGTTGGTATTTTGAAAAAGCCCTCCAAGTGATTCTTTTACTTACACCCCAGATAGAAAACCCCAAATTAAAAGTGGAAAAAAACCAGACACCAAATGGCATTTAAATAAATGTCAACTTTAATGCCACAAAGCATCTGATTGCATGTGGAGAGAAAGAGAAGGAAAGAGGGGGCCGGGCGCGGTGGCTCAAGCCTGTAATCCCAGCACTTTGGGAGGCCGAGACGGGCGGATCACAAGGTCAGGAGATCGAGACCATCCTGGCTAACACAGTGAAACCCCGTCTCTACTAAAAAATACAAAAAACTAGCCGGGCGTGGTGGCGGCGCCTGTAGTCCCAGCTACTCGGGAGGCTGAGGCAGGAGAATGGCATAAACCCGGGAGGCAGAGCTTGCAGTGAGCTGAGATCCGGCCACTGCACTCCAGCCTGGGTGACAGAGCCAGACTCCGTCTCAAAAAAAAAAAAAAAAAAAAGAAGGAAAGAGGGTGCTATATCTGGATAACTTAGAAATGTGCTCCCCTAGCAAGATATCTACCAAAATTAGAACCATATTTGAGGATGCTGGTACTGCGAGCAATATATAAATGATGCATGTAATGCCATTTAATATGATTGTATTTTTAAAAATGAGTTGAGTGGTGTTTTCTAGCTGTCAGCTTTTCCAAATATCAATATAGAAATTAGTCTTCTGCAGCTGCAGAGGCAATTCAGTTTCCAGCTTGCTTGCATGTGGCCTGGAGCCATAACGTGGCCCAGATCATCTCTGATCCACCCCTCCCACAACCACCAAAGCCAGTGACAACCGAATGCCTTGGACCATCTGGTGAGAGATGTAGCTGCAGTAAGAGTCCTGCTGTGAAGTGACAAGAGACTCAAGGCCTAGTTTTGACTTACTGTTAACTTGCTGACACTGCATACTTCCTAAGTGATCTTGGGTGAATCCTTTCACCTCTCTGAAGTTCACTATGAAATGAGAGGTCAATGGTCAAACTTAAACACCTTCAGATGTTGGGTAATATCAGTGAGTAAAATGGACCAGGCACAGCACAAAGCAGAAGGGTGCAGACTGTGGCAAGTTGAAAACTTATGCCTCTGTAAAGGGGGCAGCCACCACTCAGTTCCTGCAGATTACTCTAACTTTGCTAAGGACAGTTGCCCAGGTAGTGCACTACAGAAGGGTAACACTTTAGAGGGGGTGTCATTTGCATCATAGATGCAAAATTCACAGGTGAAGACTGATGTAGTTTGTCCCTAAAGTTTTGCTTTGATTTGCAGATATTTATCCATGGCAGTTTCCTGGAAGATGTCTATAGAAGATTTTGAGGAATGGGCACCTTGTAATTTGCTATTAAACTAAACCCCAAGGGCCCATTATAAGCCAGCACGGTCCTAGGGATTCCACACTCATTCAGTTCCTTTTCATCATAGGAGGTGGGTATTTTAATATCAGGTCCACTATAAGAGGTGGAGGCCGGGCATGGTGGCTCATGCCTGTAATCCCAGCACTTTGGGAGGCCTACGTGGGCAGATCACTGGAGCCCAAGAGTTTAAGACCAGCCTGGGCAACATGGTGAAACTCTACCTCTACAACACATAAAACAATTATCCGGGCTTGGTGGCATGTCCCTGTAGTCCCAGCTACTCGGGAGGCTGAGGTGGGAGGATTACTTGAGCCCGGGAAGTCAAGGCTGCAGTGAGCTCAGATTGCACAACTATACTCCAGTTTAGGCCACAGAGCAAGACCTTGTCTCAAAAAATAAAACAAAACAATAGAAAGAAAGAGAAAGGAACAGATCAATATGTACAATAAAGTACCATTTGTATTTTTTTAAAAAAGCAAAAGAACATATTTATTTGGATATTTGTTTATATTCATAAACTATCTCTAGAAAGATACCAAGAAACTGAATATATTTGGTTGCATCTGAGAAACTACAGGAATAGGGATGGGGTTGAGATGGCGCCTTCTGAATTTTGAAATATAAAAATGTGTTGTCTATTTAGAAATAAATGGGCCAGGCGTGGTGGCTAGGCCAGGTGCGGTGGCTCTCGCCTGTAATCCCAGCACTTTGGGAGGCCAAGACTGGCGGATCACTTGAGGTCAGGAGTTTGAGACCAGCCTGGCCAACATGATGAAACTCAGTCTCTACTAAAAATATAAAAATGGCCAGGCGTAGTGGCTCACCTCTGTAATCCTAGCACTTTGGGAGGCTGAGGCAGGAGGATTACCTGAGGTCAAGAGTTTGAGACCAGCGTGACCAACATGGAGAACGCCCATCTCTACTAAAAATATAAAATTAGCCTGGTATAGTGGTGCATGCCTGTAATCCCAGCTACTCATGAGGCTGAGGCAGGAGAATTGCTTGAACCCGGGAGGTGGAGGTTGTGGTGAGCCGAGATTGTACCATTGTACTCCAGCCTGGGCAATAAAAGCGAAACTCTGTCTCAAAAAAAACACAAAAAAAACAAAACAAACAAACAAACCCACAATATTAGCTGGGTGTGGTGGCGGGTGCCTGTAATTCCAGCTATTCCAGAGGCTGAGGCATAAGAATCGCTTGAACCTGGGAGGCGGAGGTCACAGTGAGCCAAGATCAGGCCACTGCACTCTAGCCTGGGCAACAGAGTGAGGCTCAATCTCAAAAAAAATGATAAATAAATATTATTAAGACAAAAATCATGATGACATTACATAAACCAGGTTATGCCAGCCAGTGATTTTTGAAAATATCAAAACAGTTTTATAGAAAAACATAACTTCAGGCCAGGTGAGGTGGCTAACGCCTGTAATCCCAGCACTTTGGGAGGACGAGGTTGGCGGATCACCTGACCTCAGGAGTTCGAGACCAGCCTGGCCAACATAGTAAAACCCCAACTCTACTAAAAATACAAAAATTAGCTGGGTGTGGTGGCTCACGCTTGTAATCCCAGTTACTCAGGAGCCTGAGGTAGGAGAAGCACTTGAACCTGGGAGGCGGAGGTTGCGGTGAGCCGAGATCGCGTGACTGCAGTAGAGCCTGGGCAACAGAGAAATTCTGTATCAAAAGAAGAATATAACTTCAAAAAAAATGAAGTAGGAAGAAACAGAAAAGTTTGTCTAGATCTAGAACCATTAAAGGAATTGAAGGTTTATTTTAAAATCTGTATCCCATCCCTTCAAAAATCTCACAAAAAACAAAACCAAAGAAAAGCACCTGGCCCAGATGATTTTATAGACAAGCCCAGCAAACATTAAAAACAACATGAAGTTTTTATCTTTTACATAATTTTTTTAAATTAATTAATTAATTAATTTTTGAGATGAAGTCTCACTCTGTATCTCAGACTGGAGTGCAGCGGCATGATCGCGGCTCTCCGCAACCTCCACTTCGGAGGTTCAAGCGATTCTCCTGCCTCAGCCTCCAGAGTAGCTGGGATTACAGGTGCACCCGGCTAATTTTTTGTATTTTTAGTAGAGATGGGGTTTCACCATGTTGGCCAGGCTATTCTTGAACTCCTGACCTCAGGTAATCTGCCCACCTCAGCCTCCCAAACTGCTAGAATTACAAGCATGAACCACAGCCTACATCATCTTTCAGAAAAAGAAGCAAATGGAATTCTCCCCAACTCATTGTGAATTTAGTATAGGCTTAATACCAAACCAGACATCAATAGTACAAGGAGGTAAAAGTATAGACTAACTTCTTATGGACATATATGCAAAAATGCTAAATAAAATATTAGCAAATAATCCAGCAATGGATTAAACATGTATCACGACCACGTTGTGGTTTTTCTAGGAAACTAAGATGATGTAATAAAAGAAAAAACTATTAAAGTAGTACAAACTATCAAAGGAAAAAAACCTGTATGATCATTGCAACGGGGTCATTTGCGACATCATATAATTTTTTTTCTTTTTTTTTTTTTAAAGTTTTTTGACTGTAAGTTTATTCAATGCAAAATAATCCTTTTCAATTTTACTGAGGTGGCTGACTGCGTCCACGACCAAATCCGCCTGTAAACTGGAATTCGGTTGTTGACCCAGTCCCAGCCTGGGTTTTCTTGTCCGCACCAGGAGGCACAGCACTCCCTCTGTATGTATCTCTGTCGGCTTCCCCTCTCGTGAGTCTTGCAGGTCGCTCACCCTTCAGACCTTTAGGACTAGGCCTGCCAGTCCCTGGACGGCTGCAGTGTAGGGTGGCAGGCACAATCTCCGGGGGCAGATGAAGATAATCACGAAGATACTGGATACCCTCATTGATAAGGTACCAGTAGAAATGTCTCCAGGCAAACTGTTCCTTCATGTAGTAGCCTCTGGACTTGAAAGACTGCATGGCCTTCATGACATGAACGTTGAGCACATTCTTTTTTTTTTTTTTTTGAGATGAGTCTCACTGTGTAGCCCAGTCTGGAGTGCAGGGGTGCGATGTTGGCTCACTGCAACCTCCGCCCCCCAGGTTCAAGCAATTTTTCTGCCTCAGCCTCCCGACTAGCTGGGATTACAGGTGTCTGCCACTGCCTCCAGCTAATATTTTTGTATTTTTAGTGGACACGGGGTTTCATCATCTTGGCCAGGCTGGTCTTGAACTCCTGACCTCGTGACCCGCCCACCTCGGCCTCCCAAAGTGCTGGGATTACAGGCGTGAGCCACCGCGCCTGGCCGGGCACATTCTTATCTGCCGGTTCCAGGTGCTTAGGCAGGTGGACATCCTTCTTGACCACGGTGACTTCCTCCTTAAAAAGGAGTTCATAAATGGCAAGCCTCTTCTTAGGCATAAGCATTCTGGGGAGGAGCAGTCGCTAAGGCAGCAGGGTGGCCCGGATGGGGGCCGATGGAACTCGAACTCTACCAGAATTTCTTTAATATTATATATATTTATATTGCTCACTTATTTGTCTGTTCCTTATGTACCCGGAGCGCCAGTAGGACAGGGCTTTGTGTTTTCCTCACCACTGTCTGGCTCATGCCTAGGACAGTCCTTGGCACACGGTAAACACGCTGAGGAGCGCCTCTGGGACTTGCTGACTCTGAGCATCATTCCGCAGGGTCTAGTGGGGCCTCTGAAGCGACCGGTCTTGCCAGGCTCCAGCCCAAGACCTGACGCATGCGCACCGGCTGGCCGGCTATTTTTTTTTTTTTTTTTCTTGAGCGACCGAGTAGCAGGGCGCCTGCGCGACCCAGTGCCGGAGGAATGCGAGCTAGAGATTGGGGAGACAGCAGCGCCTGCGCAGTGAAGGAATGTGGGCGGGGCCCACACGGCGCCTGCGCAGGCGGCCGCAGGCCCGCTGGGCGCGAAGGGGCGGGCCAAGGGCGGGGGCCGCGAGGGAGGCAGGGCGGGCCCGGCGAGTGGCGCCGCGGGGTTGGCTGCTGCCCTGAGGCCGAACTCAACGGGTCTCTGCTGAGCCACCGGGTGAGCTCTCCGCCCAGCCCAACCAGGAGCTTGCGAGGGAGCGATGCGGTGCCGCGCGGTAAGAGTCACGGCCGGGTTCCCGCAGTGTTCGCTGGCGGGTTGGTTTATCGCCTCAGCGCCGCCCGCGCGGCCGCGCCCGGGCGTCCCCGCAGACCCCGGCAGGCCCCGCGCCTGCGCCGTCCCTACTCCTGGGCCCCTCCAGTGTGTCCCGCGCCTGCGCCTTTCTGTTCCCGCGCCGTCCTCATTCTGGGCTCTGGGGTTCTTGGGACTACCCGCAGCCTTCGCCGCGCATACCCACGGGCCTCCGTCCGTTGGTGTTGGGGTTCAGCTGGTTCTGCGACCCTGCTTGCGGCTCGTCTGTGTGCGGACAGGTCGGGTGCGACCCTCGTGCTGGCCTTTCGGGCGCTACAGGAAAAAGGCTGGGGCTGCCGCCCCATCTCCTGGGTCCCCTGCCTGGGGCGGGGACGGCGTTATTCAGTGGCCCCAAGGGCGAAGCGCGGGCAGCAGGGGCCGCGGGCGGCGGACCCCAGGCCTGCTGCGGGTGCTGCTTCTGCTGTGGCCGGCGCCCCAGGCGGACGGAACGTCCTTTCTTCTTGAGAGGAGGTTAATTGCATCAGGTTGGATATGAATAATCCGGTGCCTGGCTGAGGAATTTTGCGTTTCCAGGAATTTGGTAATTGTAGTACTTTAAGTAGTTAAGTCTAAGACATCATAGTCACCCGGCACGTTGGGCAAGCTGTCCTGGAGATGACGAAAAGAAATCAGTTTCCAGTAGTTTTAGCACATTTACAGAACACGCAGAAATTCTGTGATCATTCAAATGCAGGGAACCTTGATTTGTTGATGTCCTTGATCATTTGTCCCAAGTACAGGAAGGGCGAGGAAAAGGTTCCCGTGAATACTGCCCAGGTGATTTCAGGGAACAGTGTTTTCTTTTGTCCGAAGAGCCTCTTAAGCCATTGATATATTTCCCAAGCTCATAACAGATACAAGCCTTTAAAAAATGACGATTGCTCTAACCCAGTAGGACACATCTTGCGATGAAATCAGAGCTATAGGCTTTGTAGACAACAGCAGTCATTTCTGGTGGCTTCGGGGAGTAGAGGGGGACTGCAGTTTTGCCAATGTAGGTGATACCAGAGGGACTTTAGTAATTTTTTCTTCATAATTAAAAGCCAAGTCAGGCGCGGTGCCTCACGCCTGTAATCCCAGCACTTCCGGAGGCGGGGGCCAGCGAATCACCTGAAGTCAGGAGATCAAGACCAGCCTGACCAACATGGTGAAATCCTGTCTCTACTAAAAATACAAAAATTACCCGGGCGTTGTGGCGCGCGTCTGTAATCCCAGCTACTCAGGAGGGTGAGGCAGGAGAATCGCTTGAACCGGGGAGACGGAGGTTGCAGTGAGCCATTTTGCGCCACTGTACTCCAGCCTGGGCGACAGAGCCAGACTCCGTCTCAAAAAAACAAAAACTAGACATAACAAGACAGCGTGGTGGCTCACGCCTGCAATCTCAGTAGTTTCGGAGGCCGAGGTGGGCAGATCACTTGAGGTCAGGAGTTCAATAACAGCCTGGTCAACATGGTGAAACCCCGTCTCTACAAAAAATAAAAAATTAGCCGGGCGTGGTGGCACATGCTTGTGATCCCAGCGGCTCGAGAGGCCAAGGCAGGAGAATTGCTTAGGAGGCAGAGGGTGCAGTGAACCGGGCTCTTGCCACTGCATTCCACCCTGGGCGACAGAATGAGGCTCCCTCTCAAAAAAGGAAAAAAACCCCAAAACACAGCCGTTACAATATACATGTATGTTATAAAATAAACCAATATAGAAGGGTATATAGTGAAAGGAGAAGAACTGTTGGTAAAATTGTTTCTATAAATAAATGACTAATCCAGTGTTTTTTTCTCCATAAAAACACCTTTTCCCCTTTGATTTAGTGTACACCACAGAGTCACTTAGCCGACTCAGCGACTTGTTAGATAGCTGGAGAATGCTTTCTAATGGTTGCAGGTGTGTAGGGGTTTTCTTGACATTTTCAGTAAGAAGGTGAATGCTGTGCCATTGGAAAGCTTTATCACTGGTGCACGTTGGTAGCCAACCAAATACTTGAGTGTCAAGTATGGTGTCTAGTGATTGGAGAATAACCGTAATAATTACAATTACAGTTGTAGTTAAAGTGAAGTTTGTATCAAAATTTCTGTTTCAAACATGAACTTTTAGGAGGTGTATCTGCAGTGTTTCCTCCTCAGATGTGATTTCTCTGAAGCAGTGGTTCTCTATAACTGACTTGACACACAATGCATCTGATATTTCGAATGATTTAAGTGATAGTATCAAAATTACTGTCATATACATATTTAAATCACATGACTAACCTGCGTGTGGTATTACACACACTGCTCAGCTCAGTAAGGGAACAGAAATAAGAAAAAAAGGACAATATTGGGAGTCGTTTTATACAATTAAATTTATTCGATTGAAGGACTATCCTTTCTAAAAAAGAAGTCCTGCTTTCTTGGTGTTAAAATAAAGCATCTTTTATGAAATGATGGTGATAGTAAATGGTGATATATGGTAAATGTAAGTAGCAAATACAAGGTTAGTTATTGTGATTTTTAAAAATAAAGAGAGCCAAGAGTCTCTTGTTTTGCTGCTGCTGTTAGGAAGTTCAGGAAAAAGTTCCTGGGGCTTTTGCTCTTAAGAAGATTCAAATTTAGAGTATTTCTTAAGAGTAAATATGAGTTTATTTCAAGGTCATTTGTCACAGTGTACTGAGAAGTCCATTGAGAAAGCTGTTAAGTTTGCCTGGCATTAAAGATGTTCCTATTCTGATCATTGTTAAATAGATCTTTTCTTATTAGATATAAATGTCAGGAGATATTTTATTTTGAGACTGAGTTTCACTCTTGTTGCCCAGGCTGGAGTCCAATGGCTCGCTCTCGGCTCACCACAACCTCCACCTCCTGGGTTCAAGTGATTCTGCTGCCTCAGCCTCCCAGGTAGTTGGGATTACAGGCATGTGCCACCACCCCTGCCTAATTTTGTATTTTTAGTAGAGACAGGGTGTCTCCATGTTGATTAGGTTGGTCTGGTACTCCCGACCTCAGGTGATCTGCCCGCCTCGGCCTCCCAAAGTGCTGGGATTACAGGCATGAACCACCTCACCTGGCCCCAGGAGATTTTTTTGTGTTGTGGTGTGCCAACAAAATAAGCCTAGGCAGGGAAATTCCTTCTGGTGGTAGGAATTGTTAGTACTGAATAGACTAGCTGCGAGGTAAAGAAACCCCACGGTGTTTTCTATCAGTTCAGAAATCACTGTGACCTCAGTCTTTTGCTGTGAAATAACATGACCATTAAGAAAGTAGGCTTAAATAATGTATTTCGGGTGTGTTGAGGGGGAGGGACAGTTACGATCTGTTCCAAAGTGAACACAAGAGATGATCCCTGTGTCTGTCAAGCCTTTAAAATTTATAGTGCTTTTCTGTTAATCTCAAATAAGGTTTAGAGTTATTGTGACATAGTCTTAAAACCTGCAGTATATCAAAAGGCACATTTTTAAAGCATCTTGAATTGAAATTAATAATGTAATATCTACTTCTTTAGAATAGTAGTTTTTACATTCTGAAGACTTGACTGCTCTCAGCCACTTCTGAGTTCTCTATTTTCAGAGATAATTTGGTAACTCCATAAAGGAAATCTGTAAATAAGAGAAGAGAGTGAATATCTTTTAACAGTGTTTTTCCTGATCTTTTCTAACATCTTCGTTGTGGTTCTGTCCTTTATTTTTTGGTTAAATCCTGAGGTTTACTTCTGCCTGTATCTTCCCAAACTATTAATCTGTTCACAGTCACTCTCCCATTTAAACCCTTCAACAGCCCCACTACCTTCGTAATAAGGTCTCCTTAGCTTGGTATCCAGAACACTTCAATACTGGCCTTTGACCCCTGTTCTCCTTCCCCCATCTCTGTTTAAGTGCTTCACTGAGCTGCAATGAACAGCTCTTGGCCCCTTGAAATCTCTCCAGTCTCCTTGTCTCCCTCTGCTGGAATATTCTTCTCTCACTTCATCTGATCATTGCCTTCAAAACTCAGCTCATTTTATTTCCCTGCCCTTTTCATGTCCCTTGTTTTCCTCCAATTAAATTAATGTTCCAGACTCAAAAGAAAAACAGCTCAGCTCAGGCATTACCTTGTCTGGAAGGCTTCCCTAGTCCTCCTGCCTCCTGCAGACTTGTCTGGCACCCTGTACATTCGGGATTTGGCACACTGTGTCTCGTCTGTGGCCTTCACTGCACGATGAGACCGTAAGTGTGTGGCTTGACAGAAAGTTGTTCAATCTTTTGTGCTGGTACAGTGCTGGGCATGGCACTGTTACAGAGGAAGTGAGCCACTTAAA